ACATGGGCAGACGAATTTCGGACTGATGTGTTGCCCCGATTATTGGAGGGTAAAGAGGGTACTGATTGTGGGGCTAACACTGAGTTGGGCCCGATTGCAACAGGGGGTGTCCAGGATTCAATTTTTAGTCTAATATTGAAAATGACTCCATTGTCGTACCCTGTTTGGTACAATCGAAGCCCCCAGGATCGGCCATCACCCAGGTTTTATACTGTTTTCCCTGCTCTGTGAATCGGATTCTGATAGGATTACAGGTGAAATTCATACATGGGCCCTTTCCTATATACATGCTTCCACTGGCTGGGAACGTCTGCATGAACTTGGACGATCGGCAAGAACTGACGGTTAATCCGTCACCAAAATGATTCCTGTCTACTGTGATGAGATCCCAAGTTGAAGAAGGTTTCCAGTAAGTGGTTCCCGTCGTTTCACATCCCCATGCTTTACAATAAAAGTCTGGTGCCCCCCCATACTGGTTTACTAAAGTTCTGTCTTTTCTTCCCCCTGGGCAAATGTAAAATGGTAACTTACGGAGTTGGTGGCGGAGTTCAAGGTGCCCACAACCTATTCCCCTGATTCCTCTAGAAGCACATAACAGCTGGCATGTAGGCTTGCCTGAACATTCAGGAGTACCGTTTTTGTTGGGTTCCCAATCTAAGATGTCCCAGGATCCAGCCGCTAATTGGCATAAATCAAAGTGTAGGTCAGGCCACCAGGTGTTAGGGGGATGGTTGCCTGTGATAGAGCTGACAACGTCCCCTGTGGCCGATGTAATTATCCAGGTAAACTGTTGGGGTGTGTGCAGGTTAGATGAAGGATTTACATAGTTACCAGTTATTAACAGTAATACTAGTAAGGTCCACATCGCTGAAGTGTTAGTTTGAGCGGATTGTTGGGGTCCTTGGAGACGCGCCATGGTGGGTCCTGGTCAGGGACAGGATCGGCTTTGCGGACATGAGTATGATGAATCCAGAGGTTATTCCGTCAACTTTGAGGGTGGTGGGTGTGGTCAGGATCACGATGTAGGGTCCTTTCCAGCGAGGTTGTAGAGTCTCTTGTCGATGTCTCCGCACATACACGCAATCACCTGGCTGGTACTGGTGAGGTTCGGGAGGGAGATTAGATTGGTAGAGGGCCCTTAAGTTCGGCCAGATGTCCTGTTGTGTTTGTTGCAGGGCTTGAAGAGAATAAATGAGCTCACAATTATCAATTTCACGTAACAAATCAGACTGGAATCTGGGAGTAATAGGTGAGGTCTACCAAAGACAATCTCAAAAGGTGTTAATCCTAATTTATAAGGAGAGTTGCAGACCCGAAAAAGGGCGAAGGGGAGGAGAGTCACCCAGTCTCCATTGGTCTCTATGGTTAATTTGGTTAAGGTCTCTTTTAGAGTTCTGTTCATTCTTTCTACCTGGCCTGAACTTTGGGGTCCGTAAGCACAATGTAATTTCCAATTAGCCCCAAGAATAGTTGCTAAATTTTGTATTACCTTAGACACAAATGCCAGTCCATTATCTGACCCTATTGTAGTAGGAAAACCATACCTGGGTAGGATGTCTTCTAGTAGTTTCTTG